CTCTCTCTCTCTCTCTCTCTCTCTCTCTCTCTCTCGCGCGCGCGCTTCCTCCCTCCCAGGCGTTCCAGCTCTCTGTCCAGGCGCGTGTGTCACTCAGGGGCCGAGGATGGAGTAGCAGAGCGGTGGATGGAGGACGGCGGGCCTTCACAGCTGCCCAGCGACACAACAGACACCGCCCAGAGCGTGCTGCAGTGGATCCTGGAAAGTAAACGACAAGGCAGGCACAAGCCTCACAGGTAAGCTGTCGCATGGACCTCCTGTTTTTATTTTTTTTACTTGAGTTTTAGTCTAAGTTCATGTCCCGCCATTTCATGTTGCTGATGTGTCTTGTTTCCTTTCTCCCTTGCAGCATCCAGAGCACCAAGAAGACCTTCGGCGGCTCCTCCGCGCAGACGCACACGTGGGGTGGGGGCGGAAGCTGCGGCCACCTGCGTAGCCACCAGCCGGCTCAGCCGTTCATCCAGGACCCGGCCATGCCGCCCCTGCCCCCTCCCAACACTTTGGCCCAGCTGGAGGAGGCCTGCCGCAGGCTGGAGGAGGTCTCCACCAAGACCACCAAGCAAAGGTACACAGAAACTAGAGAGTAGTTGCTGTATATTGCCCTTAGCCTGTTATGATTTATATATTTGTTTTTCTTAATTATTGATGTCCCGAAGGATCAGTGTGTATTGTCGATCCTCGTATTAAAGTTGATGCCGTATCCCCTCCCAGGCATCCGATGTCCAGTCTCCAGCAAGAGAAGAGCCACCTAGTGCCTGTCCAGGCTGAGGGGTCCGCCCCTCTGTCTCTGGCCAATCCCGGCCCCGTCGGCCTCGTCGCGTCCGGCCCCGGCCTCCAATCAGAAGAGTACGATGCCTCTAGCGTCCTGCCCTCCCCCTCCTCTCCTCCTCTCTGCTCCTCTTCCTCCTCTTCTCAGCCATAACCTCCACCTTGCAGTGTACTTCTACCCTTTTAACCTTCACCATCTTGTGCTGCTCACCGCACACGTAGGGATGTGCAAACATACACATCACACACGTGCACACACACACACACATGCAGTCACTTAAAAGAGAAGGTGACCCCCTTTGCAAAGTTTATTTTAAGCTTTGCACACAGATACCTGGCTCTGCCTCTGTTTGCATGCGTTGTGTTTATGCTGTGTGTGTGTGTGTGTGTGTGTGTGTGTGTGTGTGTGTGTGTGTGTGGGGGGTGTGTAGTCACTGCACCACCTGACTGAGACATCTCTTTCATGTATCATGTTTATTGGCCGTCCTTCAGTGAGCGGGCGGTCGGCTGGGGCTGAGCAGAGCTTTGCAAAGAGAGCTCCTCTGAAGCGGGCCTACAAAGCCTTGGACATAGCTGAAGGGGAGTCGATAATACTGTGCCCCCTTCTCCATGCACACACACACACACCCCACATAAGTACACACTTACTGATGGCACTAGGTCACTTGCTCACATGTGTTCTTCCTCAGTCGAGGTGTTGCTGGTGCACCTCTGCTCCAGTGCTGTCGTAGATTGACGCCAAAGTCTCTTAGAAGCTTCGCTCCGTGTTTTTCCCGATTTCTCTTTTGGTCATTATTTTGTTAAGTATCGTGAGTGTGTCCACTCCTAACACACCGTTCTCTCTCTTTTTGTCTCCTTGCAGGACGAAGGAGGGTAAAAAGGGTTTAGGAGGCGAGACGGTGGTGACGTATTTCTTCTGTGGTGAGGAGATCCCCTACCGGAGGAACATGAAGAGCCACAGTCTCACCCTGGGCCACTTCAAGGAGCAGCTTCGCAAGAAGGGCAACTACAGGTGTGTAGGTGGAAAAATCAACGTCGGTTAAAGTTTTACAAGATGCGGTGCGAGGTGGACTTTTGCCAGCGGTGCTTCTTTCATATTGTGATTGCCGGTAATAAAACACTATCAGCTCATCGGCCTTGATGTAAAACAATGATTGAGCACACGCTGTTGCCTTTTTGGAGTACAAACAAAAAAAATGGGAGCGTTATGGCTGGATTTGAGATTTGTGATCATTAGTGTCCTCTCATCTCTGACCCGGTGACATTGAGGACCTTGTCAGTGGAAGCGGGAAACCTCAAACTGAAGCTAGCGTCTAATGTTCGCTGGCTGAAAGGCTTCAAGCGACACCGTCTAATGGTAAATTGTGACCTTAAAGACCCGATATATATATTTTTGTCATTCACATGTGCTTTATCCACATCTATGTGGAGCGTTGTTATCAGTGTTTCTTCGTGCGTGTGTGTGTGTGCGTGCGTGCGCGTGCGTGCGTGCGTGCGTGTGTGTGTGCGTGCGTGCGTGCATGCGTGCGGTCAGATTCTAGCCTCTGTGGTTTTTGTATGTACGTGTTGAGGGTGATGCAAGGAAAAGGAAAGGACGGGAGGGAGGGTGGTGTGGGGGTTAGTGGAAGAGTTTGAACTGCAGCGATTTGGGTCCCATCTGGTATTGATTTCCATGCTAAGGCACACTTAATACACACGGCTTTGAAGCCCCGGCCTCTTTCATTTCAACCAACAAAGACTCGCACAAATGGCCAGCGTGCAAATTCTTCACTGATGCTATCAGGGGCTCTTTTTTTCCCTGTGTGTGTGTGTGTGTGTGTGTGTGCGCGCCCTGTGCGCATGCTTGAATGTGCTTGCGTTGAACATGCACAGTGTTTACTCATGTTGTAATCATTTTATGGATATTTTTAAAAGGCAGATTGTTAAATGCCAGATTCGCTTGTTTGCTGTACTTCAGTGCCCCGGCTGAGGCCGCGCGGCTTCGATGTGTGTTTGCAGAGAGAGATCTTCTGCTCTGATTGCTCCTTTCCAGTTGGCATTAAAGGGAAAAGATCAAACATTTATTGCATTTAAGGCTGCTATGGTCTCCGGGATAAGCGCGGGCTTTAGTATTGTGTTAATAATTACAGGTATCAAACTATTCCTTGTGGATAAAGTGGGGAGAAAAAAAAGAGAGAATTGTTCCTGTCCACATGCGTACAGCGTTTTTTGGATCATCAAATGTGACAAGCGCTTAAGCTCAGAGTTGTCCACATCTGTCTGTTTGCTCTCCCCCCCGTCTTCCTCTCTTCTCTCTGGCTCACTGTCTCAGTTCCTGTGTCACACCATCCACATTATTTTGGATAGAGCTGCGCGGCGCTTTAATAGCAGCCAGAAAATGTGTGGAGTTGGGTCATTTCAACATGGCAGCGGTTCAACAAAGAACAGTACTGCCGGGCCTGCCAGACGATATTGGTGCCAGATGTCAGTGAGAGAGAGAGGGGGGTGGGGGGGGGAAACAGATCTAGCCACATAAAACATGTTCCAGTGGAAATTCAGGCTCTCTGTGTCTCTGTCTGTGTCTCTTAGCAGAATATATCACGGGTCTTTGAAGATTTTTATTTTTATTTTTAAAGAGTAGGAAGGCTCCACTTTTAAGTTTTTCCTCGTCCGTATAGTAAAGGTGGATACAGTTATCAGGCGTGTCTTGTGCTCTTTCATGTCCTCTGATTTACTCACTTTAGTTTCCTGAGAGAGACTCCTCCCTTTTTTTATCAGACTGACCGCCGTCTTGCCTATCGGCGCGTGTGCACTCCGAGGCCTTTTTTTAAGAATCGCGTGTGCGACTTACTCAGTCTCCCGTCTCATTAAAAACAAAATGCTCACAAACATACCCGCATTCCAGTCACCCCACACACGGAGCACATGGAGGCATTTTTCCATGACATAGTTAATGAGTGGATTCTGAGACACACCAACCAGCCCACCCCTGCTGGTTTCTCTTCCTCTAAAATGAGGATGGGGGGGTTGCATCATTAATGGCCCAGTGAAGTCATGGCTGACGAGAAGCCCCTCCTTTTTAGATTTTAGTTTTTCCCTACACACACGCACGCACGCACGCACAGAAAGTTGTCAGTCGGCTGCCCTGCCTATAGCTGTCAGCGAGAGCTCACGTTATCAACGGGGGTAAGGAAGTACACGGTGTACTGCTTGCTCTCTCTCCTCCTCCACTTTGTCTCTGTTCTTTCCTTTGTCCCCATAATAATGAAACAAGGATGAGAAGCGAGTGAAAGCCAGTGCATGTGTGTCCTCTAACGTGTGTCGGAGTCGAGGGGGGGGGGGGGGGTTTGATGACGGACAGACTTGCAGGCACCCAAAATTTCAACCTTTTGTCAAAGGCCCCCTTCATTTGTACACTGGCCTAATTGGCCCCAGTTAGCCGGGGTACGAACTCACAACAACACGACGGAGAAAAGGGAAAGGTGGAAGTAAAGGAGAGAAGGAAAGGAGGGAGGGGAGAGAGTAAGCGAGCAGGTTACGACCCCACCCTGAGGAGTCAGTCTGCAGCTCAGCGGGCTCGCTTGATTGTGTACCGAGTGGCTTTTTCATGGCTGGTGGAAATGAGGCATGGTGTTTTTAAAAAGGTCAAAGGGGGGGTTTGACTTTTAGGGTCTTTCTTTTGACTGTATTTTGAGTCCAGCCTGTGTCTTCAGGTGTTAACTCTCTCTCTCTCTCTCTCTCGTCTCTCTGTCAAAGGTACTACTTCAAGAAGGCCAGCGATGAGTTCGAGTGCGGCGCCGTCTTTGAGGAGGTGTCGGACGACGGCTCCTTGCTGCCCACCTACCAGGGCAAGATCCTGGGCAAGGTGGAGCGGATGGAGTGAGACCTTCCCATGTTGTGGATTTTAAAACGGACTCTTCACACACCTCCGTGGATGTACTCCCTCCATATGCGCGCGCGCACACACACACACACACACACACACACAGAGTATGTGTCTTTTAAGCTAAGGCTGTCGGACCGGAGATGCCGCTGAAGGAATGTTAACGACGTTTTGGACAGATGGATCGGAGGAACAAAAAGGAAGGAGGACAAGTTATCGCCATTACAGGACTATCATGTGAAAAGCCTGTCTCGAGGTGAAGAAAATAAGACTGCTTTGCTGGACTGAAACATCCAGAAGAGAAAATAGAGACTCTAGGTGAATGACCACTCCTCAAAGAAGCCGGGCGGTGGGCTCAAATGTGAGACTGACGGCCTACCCGACCCTGCCTGTGCTGGCATCTGCCCACGGGCACTCGCTAGCACGCCGCTAATATGTATACGCAGGTATACATGTACATTGTATTGTGATGCTCGTATTGCTGTGTAAAGATTTCTATTGCTATTTATTGGAAACACCCCCCCCCCCCCCAAACCCCCATTACTCCTCCATGGACAAGCTGCTTGGAGTTGGAGAAACGTCTCCAAATTTCCACAATCCATGATTTTATTCCCTTCCTTCCTTCTGAGTGTCAGTTCTCAGGCAAAAGGAAATGGGTTTTATTCATTTTCTGCCCCTCATATTGAACTGTAAACTTCAAAAATACCTCTTCAAAAACAACTCCACTCCTGTTCCTGGAGATTTAGCGGGACGTCATCTCCGATCTCTTGTCCGGAGAGCTTACTGCTGAAGCTTTGAGAGTGGCTCTCTATCGCTTAAAAGTTTGATAATATATTTACTACTGCAGTGCTATATGTCCCCATCGGCTCCGAGTGTACTATGGGAGAAAAAAAAATGGGGGGAAAAAGAACAAAAATGCCATTAATGTTTAATTCCCATCTCTGGGACTGTGCCCAGCTCGCCTTGATCTGTCGCGTCTTAGTGCCTTTGTTTCAGCGGCGCAGGCATCGCACAAATAGCCTACGTATTAACGAAGAGGAAACTGCCCTGAACAGGTCCTAGAGTCCCCAAAATGTGTTTACACCAATATTAATATTTACCAACAAAAAGCTCTATCGTGTGCTCCCCAATGTGCTTACCTATGTGATTGTGTGACTGAGTAGAGTTACTCTGTGTGTATTTGAAACCTGCACTATGAGCTGCAGGTGGTGGTGATTTATACACTATGTCCATAGTGTTTTAATTGAGTACAGTAGCTGTGCCTACATGGATTCTTGCCGTGTTTTACCCAATTTTCAGGGTCCTGTTACTCCCTTGGTTTTTACAAGGGGCCTTATGTTGAAAAGATATTTTTATGCCTTTTAGTATCCGTTTCATCATGTTTTATGTTTTATAATATTTTTCATGGCTTCCTTGGCTCCACTTGTAAACTGTAAATAATGCGTTCTATAGAGCTCAGTTGAAAAGATGCCTTGGTACTTTAATTATTGTAATTATGAAGAGATGCAGCCTTTATTAAAATGTTCTATTTTTCAAATTAGCAAATGGCTTCCTATGGTTTTGTGTGTGTGTCTTGTGATTAGGGGATGTGTGTGTGTGTGTGTGTGTGTGTCAAACTTCACCACACCCCGCTGAGGTGAGTGCAGCTCGTTGGATCCGGTGAGAAATCTCTGGCAGATTTGCCTCCATTATCAGCTCTTAATTTACTCCCTGTTGGAAATTTAAACATGCAGCATTAATTTGGCCACCAGAGCCTCTGTGTGTTTAAGGGTAAGAGAGAGAGTGTGTGTGTTTAATGAGATATTTGACAAGAATGCATGCCATAAGTACATTTTACCCAGCTGGTTAACACTTCATGAAGTGTGAGGTCTCAGACTGCTGCATGGATGTAGGTTTTATAGGTAAGATCATCGGGAGTCTGAGGGGTAAAATGTTTTACTGTTAAATTCTGTCTTTAAAGGATAGCTTTGCATTTTTTACAGTCGGTCTTAAAACAATAGTCCCGGTGCCATCATCATCATGTGATCAGGTTTTAGTTGCTGTTGTCTTTCCTCCTCTTCTTTAATTAAGCTGCATCCTAGTGAATCTGTGAGTGATGGACAAAACACACAGTTGGCATTTTGTGCAAACATGTAAAGTGTCAGGTCAACAAATCAAGTGAGTATCTTCTAAAGTTAGACATTTTAGTACTAAAATATTTAGTGTCACTATCCTTCCATTGCAGCTTCATACGGAAACACAAAGAGGACATTTTACATTAAAAAGATCTCCACACATAAGGTCACACCACCAGTACAAATGTTACGTTTGAACTGAGATGCAGGTATAATAAAAAGCAACATCTATACATCACCTGTAACCGCTGATCCCTTTCAGGGTCGGAGGGGGCTTGAGTTGATCCCAGCTGGTTGGGAACATTGGGCGAAGGCGAGGTACACCCTGGACAGGTCACCAGGAAATTACATGAGACAGACGACCGTTCACGCTCACGTTCACACCTACGGGCAATTCAGATCATCAATTAACCACGTGTTTCGACTGGGGGGGGAAGCCGGAGAAAACCCACGCTGAGAACATGCAAACTCCACACAGAAGAGCTGTCCACGAAAATCAAACACCTGCCCTTTAAATGTAGGTGCTTTTCTACATTTTTCTTGTCAACAAATCTCCTAAAAAGACTAAAATAAACAACGTGTTAGTCCGTCTCTCTTAATAACGTCCCTACTCCCTCTGTGGCTCTAATCCACACGGCAATCTGCCCTTTTCACAGCAGCTATATGTTAACGTGTCAATGCAGCGTAAACACAGGTGTAACTATTAACATTAATTATGGCCCTGTTCCATTTAGTGTGCATGCTGGCTCACTGGCACGACTGTGACACATTAAATGGTACCATACTGGGACCATAACTAAGATGTACAGAAGGCTAGGATCACAGTGTACAGGCTACCTTACATGATGCCTTATTTAATTTAAACTTGTAATAGCTTCTAGCTTCACATCACGACTCTGATAATCTTCCCACATATTGTGCACAGCGCGCTCCTCTGCCACCCGCGCTCCTTTAAAGTTTCATTGGCTAAGAGTGTTTCTTATGCGGCCTTTCATATTGAAAGGGCATCATGATATTGTTAAAATACCATTTTCGGCTCTTTCATCAGCAAAGGTCAGTGCATACACTTGAAGGCCATCCTTTGGACTCTTTAGAACTAAGAGGCTCTCACTCAGCGGCGCTCCACTGTCAGAAGGCCTTGTGAACCCGTCTTTGTGTAGAGGGCTATTTTAGATGGGGTCATCTTTTTGAAGAGTGCACCGGGCTGGGTAGACTCTCCGCTGCTATTCAAACATGCTTTTTTTAGGTGGGTTTTAAGATTTGGGGGCATTTGAGGGTTGCTAAAAAAAATCTGTATGACTTTAATCTAAAGTCAGAGGGTGATGGAACATTATTTGTCCTGCGCTTCTGATTCCGCGCCCACATCTATAGCTATTCTTTGGTAAATTGAGAAAGAAAATGCAATATTAGCCTCACAAAGTAACCTTAACACAGGATCCACTTACAGGTTTTTTCAGAGCTTTTAATGGCATCTCACAGTCCTAATCAGAGTACGGTGTTTGCTCAGTTTTCACGGCCACCTGTTGGCTAAAGTTAAATACTAAAATGACGTGATGCATGGCCGGATGAAGCTGTTTGGGGGCCCTGCATGGGCAAAACATTTGCTGTTGGGCTCCAAGTTTCCATCAAGTACGTCTTATAGCATGCACTGAACTTGAAACCAACCGGTACTCTGATACTGGTATAATTCTACCATGTTTATAGTTTGTGGTAATTTCTTAAAACACAAGATTATTCAGGAAAATGCACCATGTGAGCATAATCATTTTGACAAGTAGTGTACCGCGCTTTGACTACAAGACTAGAGAGGCACTACACAATTGCAAGTCCAATTAAAATTAAGTTGAGTTTCATTCAGATTTTCACGTCCCCACAAACACAGAGTTTTCTAGCTTTAATAATCCGTGCATTCACGGATTATTCAGTATTGACAGCTATCTGGGCCTAATGCTGCTCACCACTTTAAGAAATCAGCTGTGGACTGTAATGAATTGGCACGAAGTTGTGCCCCCCTTATGTCCACATCTATGCCTGCTATTGTTTCCCCCGATGATATCCAACTTCTGCTACGAGATCAAAGCCTCTGACTGTGAACAACGGCCGCACAGGAACCTAAACAGGAAGTGGAACCAAAGGATCACACAGATGCGCTTTGATTGGTGGAGGCAAAGCTTTGATGTGCAGTCATTACTGTGCTAGTCACTTTCCAAAAGTTGATTGTTGTCGTACAAAAGAGGTCAAAATCAATTACAAAGCAATGAAGTGGTGCAAATAGTCTGAAATATGAAGGATTTCGTCACATAAATAGACAATCTGGATGAAAACACAATGTCGGTTAATGTAGAGTCTAAAATATCAAACCAGAGCACAGCTGAGCAACGAGGCCATGGGAAAAACTCTGCTCACTGTCTGTCACCGCGAACCTCAACCTCATTTAAATACACTCCAGTCATTCCAACATAGATGGATATGAGAGAGTGAGACCCCCAATTTTGGGTCCTGAACCCCTTCATTTGGAACCTGGATTAGCCAATGCGAGTTGTTCCACACAGGCATCGACCCAGACAGCAATGGGACTGTGGTCAACCAGGGGGCCTCGTCTGGAACCTGGCCAGGCGCCACTGTGGTATAGCTGATCCCCCGACCATCTGACCAATCGCGTGCCTTCATACTGCCTGATACCGCGTCCTAACCAATCACAGACTCTCCCGCCTTCAGAATCAACCAATGACACATCTGCTGACATGCTCAAATGACAGCTGCTTGGCCAAGAAGAACCAGAACCTATCCATCAAAAAGAAATTAACAGGGTTATTATTGTAGCTTACAGACTGTTCAAATGTAGTATTAGTGAACGAGTGGAATATAGGCATCATTTAGGTACGCATTATAGGAGAGTGAGGTAATACAGAACACCATTAGAGAACATATCCTACGTCTTTAAGCTCGGAACAATGCATTGCTCCTGTTTTTAGAAGACAAGCTGATAATTTAATGACCAACATATGTGACCGAAACATTTGATGGCTAGACCAAATCTTCCAAAGTAGCCCCCCCCCCCAAAAAAAGAAAGAAAAGGCATTATATTTCCCTCCCTAATCACATGGCAAGAATCTGAAGAGATTATGTATCTTCACAAATGCTTTGGGAAATGAAGACGACCAGAAACACAATCTGCCACCGGTGTGGCGCGGCGGTGTCGGATGGCGTGCGGCTAAAAGGGCGCTGAGGACGTGAGGTATGATAGCTGGTCGGGCCGCGCCGGGGGACTCTGTGTGCATCCTCCCTGCAGCTGGAGGAAAAAGCATCTTTTGTAAAGAGAGCGAGCGCCATTGTCCTCCTTTGGTGTTTACGTTTGTCTTGAATTTCACCTGGTGCACAGCGCAGCCCCGGCAAGCCACAGGATAGGCATTGTTCTGGGCCCGTGCAGGAATGGTAGCCTGCAGTCACCTTCTTTCTGACTGTCGCCATTGTCCCGCCACCAACTCCCCCCCCCCCCCAAAAAAAAACAACTTTGTTTTTGCTCCCCACCGCAGACAGCTGAGATTGTTGCCTGATGGTGCTTCCTCTCCTCCCATTGTTTCCTCGTCTCCTCATGTATGACTTTTTCTCCTCCTTGTAGGTCGCCGTATGTGTGTCGGCTGTTGAGTGGTTGGAGGAGATGGGAGAGTGGGGTTGGAGGGGGGGGGGGGGGTACACAGAGTGCATGTGAAGTTTTATGGCTAACCACATGTGTTTTTGAATCTTTGAGCTTCCACGTTTTTTTTTCCCATGCTGAGGGGTTGGGGAGAGTCTGCAGCATGAAGATGGGGCGGAGAGAGGGAAGTGGGTATGAGGTAGGAGTAGGAGAGAGAGAGAGAGAGAGAGAGAGAGAGAGAGAGAGAGAGAGAGAG